TGACTACCTAGCTCACAATAATTTGCTGACAGTTTCTCAGCATGGTTTCAGACCGATGCATTCTACTTTGATTGCCTTGCTTGAAGCTACTAACCACTGGTACTTAAATATTGATGATGGCCTAATTAACAGTGTACTCTTTCTGGATCTTAAGAAAGCCTTTGATACGGTTGACCACAGCATATTGTTGAAAAAATTGCAACTTTATGGTCTCGGCCCGCATGCAGTTCAGTGGTTCAAATCATACCTGTCAAATCGCTTTCAGAGTACTTATGTAAATGGCCTCTATCAGACCATCTTCCTGTTAGTTGTGGGGTGGTCCCACAAGGTTCTGTACTTGGACCCTTGTTGTTTTTCATTTAAATAAATGACCTACAAGAATGCGAGCTGTCATCATCTGCACTCGTGTATGCTGACGACACCTCGCTTACCCTCTCCGCTTATGACCCCGCATCTCTCGAAGAAAAGTTAAAGACTTGGATGAGGTTCAAAAGTGGCTGAAATCCAATAAACTCATATTAAATGTCAAAAAGACAAAATATATGATAATTGGAAGACACTGCCAACTAAGGCATTTAAATGGTGACTTAAACGTTACTGTTGATAGTCAACAATTGACTCGGGTGACTAATTATAGATATCTGGGAATAGAGGTTGACGAGGCATTGGGCTGGCAATCCCATTTAGATACCACCTGTAAAAAGGTATCTGCAGGTAAAGGGGCCTTAAAACGTATTCGTTCCCTGGTGCCTCGCCAAACCCTACTGAAAATGTATGATGCTTCAGTCGCTCCTTATTTTGATTATTGCTCCGAAGTCTGGGGATGTATCGGAAAAGGCCTGTGTGACAGACTCCAGAGATTGCAAAATAGGGCTGGGAGAATTATAACATTTAGTGATTATAATACAAGATGTGCGGATATACTCCAAGACTTGAGATGGGATACCCTTGAGCAAACACGCTCTAAACAGCTTGCAATAAGTGTTTTTAAATCTGTAAATAACCTTTACCCTCAAGTCTGCCCTGTCTTTGTCTTGAACCAGGGATTGCCTTGAGGGAGTCGAGATAGAATTTACTTTAGTTATAGAATGTACCTTTAAGGTTGATTGATTTTTGTGTAATTAATTATAGGATAGATTTTCTTAATATATAGATATCTTTTAACATTAATGTAGTTTCTCTGAAAATTTGTTATGTAAACGGCTCACTGGAAGAGCATTTTTAATGAAGTGATACCGTAAATAAAGCTTGATTGTTGTTGTTGTAGTCGACTCAGGCACGTAGGGTCAGCTGTGGTACCACGGTTTGAAACGTGCGGAAAGAGTAAAAAAACCAAGGTTTCATCCACCGTTAACTGGTCTTTTTTCTGCTTTATCAACGCGCGCTTTGTCGGGTTATTTAGTTGTAGTTTTCTCCGAACTGAGTAAGCTTTCCCTTTTCGGCGCTGACTCTCTTTCCAGGTCTGTTCATTGTGCCCCTGATGAGAATGACAGACCTTCTGAGCAGACTGAAATTTTTAAATCAACATCAGTCTATGTTCCCGTCTATACTAGTAAGCTCACTAGAACTTAATAACAGTGTAACATAGCTATTTATCAATTTAGTTCTCGTAGCGTAGTTAAATGAGTATTTACCACTTACTTAATGCTACGTATTCTTATTAAAAAATGACTAACGTATTTGCGGCTATTTTTCCCGCAGCTACATATAGTTTACACTCAATGAACTAATGTGTGGTCATTGAACTACTGGCGTGTTTATTGATCGGTTGTGTACTTATTGAACTGCTGTGTGGTTATTGAACTAACAAAAAGGAAAAACTGAACATCTGCCGTTCGCAGGCTAGACTCGATCACCATTGAAGATTCCTTTTTAATTTTGACTACTGATGTGTTCATTTGTTCCAAAGAAATCAACACCTTCAAGCAATGGAATTCATGACCTGACCTGTTCCAGAAAAGCTCTTAATCGCATTTATCTTTCCTAATATATTTGTGGCATTAATATAGCCAATATTGAGTGCAAACTCTCGTAATATGCCAAAGCAACCACTGTATGATTCTGGACAGCTCTGATCTCTCCTTTTCAAGAACCCTTCTTTTAAGTGATACTTTTGCAATCTCATCTAGATTGACAAACAGACATAAGAAAACCAAAGCACCCTGGATTGGTTCATGCCTTTTTTCTTTTCTGTAAAAATACTTATCTGTTATAGTGTATATGGGAAAATTTAGTAAACAATAATTAGACGTAATTGTTACGAATTGTAAATGACTGTAATGAATTGTAACTGTTTGTGTGTAAGGAATAAAATTTTAAAAAGTAGCCGCCATCTTGGTTTTACAAGAAAGAGGAAGGCTTTTCTCAGCCCTAGCTATCACCCAGATACTGTCGCCTCCTTTCAACTTAAAAGGCTAGCTGAAAGTGAAGGTATCTGCCCTAATTGCAGTGGAGTGAAGGAAAGTACAAGTAGCTGAGATGAATTCTCTCAACATATCAAATATTGAAATGTAAAAACCCAAAGTGCACTAGGTATTTGAAAACTGTCAGATGCCATGAAACACAACATATGTGTGAGGTTGGTCTTGATTTTACCATACTCATTGCACTGGGATAATAACTCCCAAATCTACTGTTTCACCTGTAGTGCCAAACCTGCGGACTTAATGCACTAATTGTTCACCTTCTGTTTAATAGCATTTTACAAAGAGAAATAATTCTGAACATTTGCTCGGAATATGCTATTTATGAACAGATAATTGATCAAATCATTCTGGTTCTTCAAGCAACAACGACACAAATTAAAATGATGCAAGTAACACTCAGTCCATGGTGTCAACTTTTAATGAGTTATTACTTGTAGTGAACACCTTCTATTCTTTTACAGTGTGACGACTTCAACCGTGGCCACCTAAGAACGTTCAGCCAATCAGAGACCGCTCCCTTAGCAAATAATTGGGCGTGCAGACCTTATCTGAAACTGTCCTATTGTTATATTTCAAAATATTACTTACTTACTTATGTCATACATATACATATAACTGTTGACTTTGCAACTGTTAAATATTTTATTTTGAACAGTTTTTATATAACATGGCGAGAAATAAGGGTATTTTAACTTTAAATGAGGTTTATCTGGTTTTCTCTGTGATACCTTTTACTTGCAATCTTTCATAGGAAAAAAGAGATGAGGAAATCACCAAACAGTAACTCATCAGGTGTGGCACAGTCAACAGTAGTAACAAGAGGGATATTACCAAAAAAGGTCAGAAATCCCTCCTTTTCCTACGAAAGATGTCATCCCACCTGCGGAATCTGATGACGAGGACAATCACAGGGATTTTAATTTTAGAAGACGCCTATTTTTAAACAAGGCTAGGAAAGTGGCAAGTGAAAAGAGGGCAGAGGAGCGGGCCTGTGCATTCTCTGTGTGGAAATGAAAACATTCCAAAGTGAGGAAAGTGTATTGCGTCATAAAACAAAAGAAATTATTGCCTCCCATCTTACCGGGAACATTACTTAAAAACAATATACGTATACTATTATGAAAACACTAACGAAATACTTCCAGGTTGTATCTTCACTCAGGAGGAATCACTGCTGCAAGGTTGTTCAATAAGCCACTTGCAGCAAAAATATGGCAATTTGGTGTTTATTATACAGCTGCGCGGAGTCGGAGTGGACCGACGTGTTTTCTAAGCAGCGCGAAATTCGACTCCCCAAATCCAGAATTTCGTTGGGTTCTTGTCGTTTTTGCTCTTGTTTTTACTGTCAAATTGCTTGCTTTGTTTCAACGTCCATAATGTCGGCAAATTCGAGGAAAAACAAACGAGGTGACCGGGGTTCTAGCTCAGGTTCTGCTGAAAATTCCGCCAAGAAGCCAAACATGAAGGAAACCGAGGAAGAAGGTATATTCGGCGACGAGGACTCCTCTGAAGAAGAACCAACTCTGCTGGAAATTAAACTGATGCTGTCATCTATACAGTCCTCAATTACGAGCATCTCCAGTGAAAACGTCAAATTTAGAGAAGACATGGAGGAGCTAAAGAAGTCACTGAGATCCAATGAACGTGAACTCAAGGAGCTTAAAACGTCTCTTGATAAGGCTAACAAGCAAAATGCTCTACTTCAGAAAGAACTACTTGGGACTAAAACAAAACTAAACGAGCAGACGGAAAGGATCGACTCGTTGATTGAATCGCTTGATAACCTCGAGCAACATTCGAGAAAAAATTCCCTCGAAATACATGGTATCCCGGAAAATATTTACACCTCAACGGAAGAAGTTGTTCTCAAGGTAGCTGAGGCTGTTAATGTCCCTGTTGCTGCGGAGGACATCGAAATCTCTCACAAGCTAAGACGACGAAATGGTATGAAGCCTATAATCGTAAAATTTTGTAGCCATAAAGTTAAGTCTCGGCTATATAAAGAGCAAACTAAATTGACGTCAGTAAAGATATCAGATTTATATCCCGGTTATGCCTCAGCAGCAACAAAGCAAAACCGTATATTTATCAACGAAAACCTCACACCTTATAGGGCAGACTTAGTAAGACAAGCGAATGATATGAAGGCTGATGGACTTTTATCAAGTGTTTGGACACTAGACGGAAAGGTCTTTGTTAAAACTTCACCATCAGGTAATCCTGTTAGAATTTACTCTGAAGATGATCTTGATGAATTATAAATGCTTAACAAACATCCATGCAATAATTACGGGAGGTCGATTTCGCCATAGGCTTAGATTGTACGAAGGTTAGTCTCTTAAGCGTATTTTTCTTAAAAAACTTTTGTACTTCACTAGTTTTTGTTGTAAAGTTAGGTTTTTCTTTTTGCTTTTTCTTATTAATCTATTCTGTTGCTTTTTCTTTGTTTGTTTTCTTTTTCTTGATTAATTCGTTGCTGTTGAGTTTAGTTAACGTAACCTAATATTAGCATAACTATTGTGCATTTAAGTTTAGGTGTAAGATTTTAGGTGATAATACAGTATGACACTTATCAAATTCCTATCACTCAATGTAAGCGGATTACGCAATCATGTCAAACGAAGGGCATTATTTTCGTATCTAAAGAATCAAAAAGCTGATTTCCATTGTTCAATATATCTCACAAGACCAATATTAAACTCACGCCGCTTCAAGTTTTTCTCAATTTACCAACCCCAGCTTTCAATCTTTCCAATAAACAAACCAAGGATTTGTGTCTTCTTCTGTTATATGTAAAGCAGTACCACTATGGATGTAAATCAATGCAAAAGAAAACAGACACCTCTGAATTTATATCTAAATTTATTATGCAGCTTGAAATAGAAGTTTGACATGATAGTGCCACCCTCCTCTCAGCTTTATATGTATATTAATGTAATACATTAGCTTTAATATGTGTAATCGATAGAAGTATTTTAATGGCCAATACAGGAACATTTATCTAAGTGCACAATTGTAAGTATTGTAACGTACTTTTGTTTAATAAATAAAATTAAAAAAAAGAAATACAGCTGCTTGTATACAGACACACGCTTTTCAAATATTTTCAAGTGCTTTAATAATAGGTCACAAATCCCTCCTGTCTCTCCTAACATGTAGTATCACTGCCCTCTTCAATTTACATGTAGCTATGATCCTTGATTTAAAGTCTTTGGAACAGCGATGCAATATGTTTTCTTTTATTTATTCATGGGTGCTCTCATTAGTAAAGGGCTATCCTTTTGAAAAATGTCTCAAGTGCACTTCTCTCACTCCCCCCAACGTCAAAGGTTTATTGATCGAAGAATACAAGAAACGAGAAAAAAAAGAAGACAACAACAGCATTCATCGAAATGAAGCACTGCTTTCTGACAAAAGCAATTTTGCATCTTCCAGAGGGAGAAACTCTCGACGTGATGGTCAAAAGTTTGGACATACAGAAAGTTTCAGGCAGCGTGACCGCCAAGGACCAAATCAAGGTTTGAGATGCTATAAATGTCCACAAATTGGTCATTTTGTTAAGAACTGCCCACTCAATCGCATTGCAGAACATGATTGCAAGCAGCAAGATGACAGTATAGCCTTGAATTCCAGCACGACTTGTCGGAATAGAGTTATTCGTTGGTACATTGACAGTGGTGCTACAAAGCATATGACCTTTGAGAAAGATTTGATTGTTGATTTCTACGAGTATGAGCAGCCATCGAAGATCTACCTTGGTGACAACAGAGCAATAGAAGCTTTTGGAGAAGGAAAGGTGAACCTTTCGTGCTATGATGAATCACATGCAGTTGCATTAACTTTAAACAAAGAACTGTACGTGCCCAATTTATCAATGAACTTGTTGTCCGTTCCTGCTATGACGCAAATGGGAGCAGACGTTTTATTTGATGAAGGAAAGTGTATCATATCCAAGAATGAAAGAAAATTCACCATTGGACATTTGTTGGACAGTAAACTCTACATTGTAAACAGAGATGGAGAGGCTCACATCGCCAGTACAACATCACAATCGCTGGAGCAATGGTATTGTCGATTTGGTCATTTTAATTACTCCTATATTGATCGCTTGATAAAAGGCAAGCTTGTTGAAGGCATGAGCTGTTCAAGTGAGTGAACAGAGAGTGTGAAGCTTGCGCACAAGGGAAATGAACAGAATCCCTTTTAAAAAGAAAAGTGTACAGAAAATTCATCAGCCCCTCCAACTTGTACACAGTGACCTCTGTGGCCCAATGAATGTTGATTCTGTTGGTGGAAACAAGTATGTCCTTACATTTACTGATGATTACACCAGATATGTCACAGCGTATTTCATCAAGAGCAAGTCTGAAGTGTTATCAAAGTTTGTGGAATATGTGACAATGATGGAAAATGAAACTGATTTGCGAGTATGAGTCATTAGAACTGACAATGGTGGAGTATACATCCCAGTACTTTAAAACGTTTTGTGCTGACAAGGGGATTGCACATCAGCTCACCAACCCGTACACGTTTCAGAGAGACTGAATCGCACGCTAATTGAATCTGCAAGATCCATGCTCATTCATGCAAAGATGCCGTTGAAGTTTTGGCCAGAAGCTGTGAACATTGCAGTGTATCTAATCAACTGGACTCCTACAATTACACCAAAGGACAAAAACACCATTTGAAAGTTGGTTTGGGAGGAGACCAAATGCCTCAAATTTGAAAGGTTTTGGAAGTGTCTGGTTTGTCCACACCCCAGATCACTTACAAAAGAAGCTTGATCCCAAGAGCCGCAAAGCAATATTTGTCGCACATTCATTGGAAAGTAAAGGCTACAAAGTGTATGAAGTGGATACTAAACGTTTCACAAGATTCAGAGACGTTTTTCATGAGAACAAGTTTCATACATTTGACGAAGCTACCAACAGTACATTCTTGTACATTCAATGTGGATAACGAGACAGAACCCGATGATGTCAGAGATGAGCTAGAAATTCACACTGTTCCCACCATTCCAATCACTACCACAGAGTCTCCAGAGAATTTACCTTCAGTGGGAGAACCCTACGAAGATACTTGTATGCAACAAGTGAGAAGCCTTGGTCCAAGCAGACAGAGAAAAGCACCCAACAGATTTCATCCAGAAGAATGAAGAACCACAATCTTTGAAAGAAGCCTTGGGTAGCAACAACTCAAAAGAGTGGAAAGAAGCCTTAGACGATGAATACAGCTCATTAATCAGTAATGAAAAATGGGAATTAGTACCACCACCAAAGGATGCTAACATAGTTGGATCAAAATGGGTTCTAAAGGTTAAACGAGATGCTGATGGCAACATCAACTGATACAAGGCAAGACTCGTTGCACCGGGATATTCGCAGACACAAGGAGTAGACTATGAAAAAGTCTTCTCTCTTGTTGCCAGGCAATTGCATATGATTTACAAGTTCATCAAATGGATGTCAAGACAGCTTTCCTGAATGGAACAAGTGACCATGACATTTACATGTCTCAGCCTGAAGGATTTGTTGATCCAGATGATCCTGACTATGTGTTCAACCTGAAGAAGAGCCTGTATGGCCTCAAGCAGTCAGCTAGATGTTGGAATCAAACAATCGACAATTTCTTGGCAACGAATGGCTATCGGAGAAGCCCTGCAGGTGAGTGCATTTATGTGAAAACAGTCAAGAGAGATGACGGATTCATCAGTCTATGTCGATGACATCATTCCTGTATCCAATGATGTTAAAATGCTCAAACCAGAGAAAGAATCCTTCTGCAGAGAATTTGAAATGGTTGATCTGGGAGAAATTCACTTCATCCTTGGAATGTCAATCACGAGAGACTGAGCTACTTGGACACTGACCATTAGTCAAGGGCAGTAACTTAAAGATTTGCTCAAACGTTTTAGAATGGAAGAGTGCAAGCATATGTCAGCTCTGCTAGAATCACGAAAGAAGTTCCACAGGCGAACAGACGAAGAAGAACGATGTGACAATAGCCTTTGTACAGCAGCCCCTCCCCTGAAAAAAATCGGAAAGGAGCGTCTGTGATTTACCGTTGATAATCGTGTTCAGGAATAATTTTGCATAAATTATTAAACGTGATTTAAGCTGACCAAAACTTCCGAGGCTCACATTTCTGTAGAGGTAGATTCCAATATGGCGGTCGATGCGGGAGAGTTCCGTCGTGCATTAGAGAGTGTTTGCAACATCTTTAAAATTCCTTCCCTTTACAGCGAGCAAGAAAAATGCTTAGAAGCACTTTTTAAAGGAAAAGACGTATATGCAAGTCTTCCAACTGGTTACGGAAAGTCCTTGATCTTCTATGCAGCTCCGATCGTCGCTGATGAGCTGTTCTCGTGACCACGTGGAAGCAGCAAAATAATTGTTATTTCACCTCTAAGAATGCTAATGGAAGACCAGGTAGCATATTTGCGGTCTTTAGGATTATCAGCAATTGCTCTTCACGATGAGCAATCGGAAGAACGACTGAAGGAAGTGGAAAAAGGAGCGTTCACTTACTTGTTTGCATCACCGGAGAAAATGTTGAGCGTGGAACGATGGCGCAAGCTTCTTTTAACTGAACACTATCGGAAGTTTCTGGTGGCGATAACTGTCGATGAAGCCCATTGTATAAGCCAGTGGGGTCTTCCTGGATCTTCCTCAAAGCGCACAGCTGTCCCTTTCCAAATTTGGTATGGAAACCTGGGGGAACTCAAGTCACTAACTGTAAGTAATGTTCCTTCTATCATTGTGACCGCCACCCCTTCACTATCAACTAAAAGAGACATTTTCAGGGCTTTGAATTTAAACCAGTCCTCATCCTTCATCATGGAACACAGTCCACAAAGGCCCAATGTGCAATTCAGTGTGCGTTATTTGGATAAAAACTTGCCTGTTTCTTCAATATTTAGTACTTTAATAGATGAGCTTAGAAGTAAAAACGTGTCCTGTGAAAGAACAATGATTTTCTGCCAAACTCGCAAGCAGTGCGCTTTGGTGTACTCAGCATTTAAAGAAAGCCTCGGAGTTGATTTTTATGTTAATAAACACCTTGACAGTAAGAAGAGAATGGTGGAAATGTTTAATGCTGGAACACCCAAGGCTGTGAAAAAGCACATTCTTTGTAACATGTCTCAACCCAATGGCCACATTCGAATAGTAGCCTGTACTGTTGCGTTTGGAATGGGGGTTGATTGCAAAGAAGTTCACCGTGTCATACATTTTGGCCCTTCTAAAAACCTTGAATGTTATGTCCAAGAATGTAGAAGGGCTGGTAGAGATGGACAGCCAAGTTCATGCCTTTTGCTGCACAATCGGCTACTTGGTGCACATTGCATGCATGACATCAAGGATTTTGTTGCTAATAGTACTGACTGTAGGCGTACGTATCTAGACAGTCATTTTCCAGGGAAATTTACTTCTTCTGTGTCAGGTCACCAATGCTGTGACATATGTGCTAAAGCATGTGGATGTCAACAAGAAATTTGCAAGGAACCTGCTATACTAGTTCTGGATGCTACCGAAGATGAAAAACTTTCTTCTGAATCTGTTCGTTCAGTTGAAGAA